ATAAACAATATAAAATATAAATTTTAGTATGAAAGAGATGAATTTTTTTTTTTTTTTTTTTTTTTGTATGAAAGAGATGATTTTTTTTTTTTTTTTTTGCATTGACTACCATTATTTATGAGAAGTGAGCTATAAATTAAAATTTAAAGAAAATCTAATGTAATGTGATTCATTCATTTCTAATTAAAGCAGCTCTCATTTTTATAATTTCAAAAATACCATTGACACATTATTCCTAATGTGATTTTTGATATAATCCTTTTGTGTGCAAATCATTTTTCATTGGTTTATTCTACAAAACAAACAAAAAAAAAGAAAAAAGAAAAAAAAGTGCCAATAAAAGTGATCCATTCTTTGACTATAGAGGATTATGAATTTTCTTTTTAAAGAAAAATATCAGATAAGTAAACATTTTTCATAAAAATGTTAACAAAAAATAACTGAAATAATATTTGAGCTTGGTAACTAAATAAACTCCATTTTTTATTTTGTCAATTTAAATCTTAATATTTTGTATTTTTTTTTTTTCACCGTCTAAACCACTCACATTTTTTCATTAGGTAAAATTGATGTAAAAAAAAAATGTTTTAGTCATTAAGTTCAATTGGAAATGATATTTTAGATTATTTATTTTTATTTTAATTGTACACTTACATTGAGTACAAAAATTGAATAAATTTTTTTGATTACACGCTTTGTTTGGTTCATTGGAATGATGTAGAATAGAGTAAAATAGTCATTCTTGGACTGCTTTTAACGAAATGATCAATCATTTATAATGCATTTTTTTTATCATTATTTTAATAAACCAAGTGTAAAATAAATATTTGATGGAATGATAATTCCATTCTATAAATTATATAAATTTTGAATAATTAATGTAGTGTTTTAGAGGAAATATCATTTTACCCCTCAAATTTTTACGCATTTTTCAATTTGACCCTTAGATTTTGATTAATATCAATTTTATACCCAGACTTTTGAAATTTTGATCAATTTAGCCCGTGCCATCACATTCTGTCTACAATTGGACAAAATGTGTTGACGTGGCGCCAAAATTTATTTGAAATTTCATTTTATCCTCCCAAATTCTACCTTACAAATCAATTTGCCTCCCAAATTAAAAATCAATTTACCTCGCAAACTATACCTTAAAAACTAATTTACCCCCACGTCATCACATTCTGTCCAATTGTTGATGGAATGTGATGGCAGGGGCCAAATTGATCAAAATTTGGCAAATTTGGATGTAAAATTGATATTAATTGAAGTCTGAATGTCAAATTAAAAAATGCGTGAAAGTTTAAGAGGCTAAATGATATTTTGTTTTACTATAATTCAATACACCAATTAGAGTCACTGTTATGTTTCTAAAGTATCATATTTTAAAGCACATTCAAAGTTAAAGTAATAATTTTTAAATTATCATTGCATAGTGATTTAAATTCATTACAGTTAAATAAAATATTAAAAATATTTTTATATATTTTCCTACCTAATTTAGTTATAAATGTAGTTAGTAGCAAATCCACTATTTTATTTTAAGATTTGCTTATATATATATATATTTGTTAAAAAGTATATAATACTTTTCATATTAAATTAAACTAACACTACAGGTTTTCAATTTATTTATTGATTTGTGTATCTATAGTGAAAATAAGATGAGATGAGTTGAATAATTTTATTTTAATATTGTCATCAATTTAAATATTGAATATCAAAATAATACAAAATTTATATACAAGGATAACAACATAATTAATCTAATTAATAATTTAATAACTTATTAAACTGAGAGAGTTAAAGGATCCTGGCGAAGTAAGGTACCTTGCAGTGCCTGTGGCATTTCGATGGGGCTTGTTCTAATTTTTTTTTTTTTTTATAATTCAAACCGTTTGTATTGTAAAGTTTATCAAGTATATTCTTATTTAAAAAAAAAACAAATTAATCGAAAATGTGTAGCTCCATGATTAGGTTTTAGCTGTTTGAAAAAAAATTATCAAAATCGTGTTAACTTTTTTTTTTTTCTTCTCCAAATGTGTTATTGTTACAAAATTATAGGTGTCTAACCAAATGTTTTTTTTGACATGAATGATTTAATCGAATAACTTTACAGTATAAATTATTTGAATTATGAAAAAAAAATTCAAAACAAACCCCCCTTCTAAAACATCATGGCAGTCTCTTAACAATAGCCAACGACTCAACTGCTGAAAGAGTCAACTGCAGCTGCTTACCCACCCAAATTCCAAGAATGGGCCGCACCTTTGTAAGAAGAAAAATGTTTGAAAGTACTAAAAAAAAATTATTAGAGAGAGCATTAATGATATGGGAGTGAATTTCGCTCACTTTTTAAGCCTTGTTTTTATTTATTTATTTATTTATTGTTATTTTTAATGTATTAGTTTTATTCATTATGTATATTTTAGTAATCTAAATCATTGTTATAGAAAGAAAATGAAATGGCAAAAAGAATCTTTTGAGTAAAAAATGCTAAAATACAGGCTTTTGCTAAAAAGACCCTGACAAAGCACTCGTTTAGCGTAAAGAGTTGGGAGGTTTTTTTTATTTTTTTTTGATATTTTAATTAAAAAAAATTAAATAAAAAGTTAGCAAAATAAAATATTATATTCAAATCATGATCATTTTATTTTTTCTTTTATAAAAGTAAAAAAAAAACTAAAAAATCATCATAAATAAGACTTTTTAACCGTAAGTTAAAATAATCAAAAAAATCAAAAAGTCAACTTATATACCAAGCGAAGTAATTTGTTGAAACAAATGGAACAATTCCGGTAAAAAAAAATACAAGTCATCTTCACTAAAGAAAATCTTATATATATACTAGTTTATACAGACCCGTACTATAGTATATTTAAATTTTGTATTTTGATAATTTTTTTAAAATTAAAATATTGTTATATGAAATTGAATAGAATAAATTATTAGATATATGATAGAATTATGTAGTATGATAGGTATATTTTTTGATTTGTTATACACCCAATAATGTCGACTCCAATTCTATTACCATATCATTTTAGGTAAATTTATGAGTTTTTAACATTTCTTTCGAATTTATAAAAATAAATAAAATTATGGTATTGTTGGCTTATTTTTCCTACGAAGAAAAATATCATAAATGCGAGTGTGCCAGCAAGGATTGAAAATCTTTACAGATTAAATTCAAGCCAATTATCAAGCGATTGCGTTGACGGTTCTTTTGCCTCAACAAAGAGGACTTCAAATTTGCCAAGTGTAAAGAAAAGAAAAATTAAAAGAAGAATGAGGGAGACGGAGAAAGACGATTAAGTGAACAATCAAAGTAATCATTACTTACCTCTACTCCTATGCTTCGAAAAGGAAGTGTATAAAATGCTTCGAAAAGAAAGTGTTGAAAATAAATACTTCGAAGTATAAATCTATGTTAAACTACTCCTAAGATAAGGAAAATGACAAGAAATATTGAAATCAATTGTCTTTTATTTGAATTCTGGATCTTTACAATGTAGCCATTAATGGCTATTTATAGAGAAAAAAATACAACAATAACTACTTAGTAACTACCAATTTTTTCCATCTCCATTCTTGTCTTGCCATGTGTCATTCCACTCATCCATTTTATCCTTCATATTCTCCATCATCTCTATAACTTCTTTTAACTTCCAAATAAATAAGAGGATGCCACGTGTCTTAAAAATAACAACAATAATAATAATAATAATAATAATAATAATAATAATAATAATTGCAGATTTATGGTGCTAACAGGTGTATAGCTTTTCTCAACAGATAAATATAAAACAAATATTAAGATAATTCTCCTATAAAAAAAAAAGAAAAAAAGAAAACTACTAAGATAAGTCACTAAATTAATAAAGAAGCAGAAAAAAATATATATATATATATACAAATGACTAATTTTATTAATATATAAATCATACTCGCATAACAAATAATCAATTTTATTAATAAGTAAATTAACAATTTTTAATGATAAGAAAAATAATTTTTAATTAACCCCTTTGTTAATAAATAAATCATTAAGTCAGTTAATAATTTTTAATGATATGAGAAATATTTTTTAATAAATAATTTTGATAATTTATTATTGGATATGAGAATTTTTCCTCTTCTTGAATATTGTGTTAAATTTAAATTTATAACAAACGATAATTGTAATTTCTAGTATTATGAGTGTATTTGTAATTTGTCAAAAAAATAAAATATTTATATTTCATAATTGACTAAGAATGTTTGCATAATTACGAAAATATATATTTCATAATTGATCAAGAATGTTTAAGTAATTACGAAAAAACCTGTTGCATAATTGATCAAGAATACTTACGTAATTACGAAAAAACCTTTACTCAACATATAGGCTACCATTAGTAAATTATTCAAAATGAAATGACAAAATTAAAAAGAAAAGACGAACCTCAAGCAGCTAAGTGCCTTACATATATATATATATATATATCAACAATGATAGAGACCTTATTTTTGGAGTAGACCTCATTTTTAGAAGACCCCGACAACCTCTAAAGTGATCCACACCACTTATGATATGGCCCCACGCATACATGAGTGGTGTGGATCACTTTGAAGGTTATGAGGTTCTCTAAAAAACGGATCTCACTTATTTTCTTATATATATATATATAGATAGATATAGATATATGCAAACATCAACAATGATTGAGACTTTTTTTTTTGAAAATTCCTATAATTTTTTTTGAATTTCAATTATTGATGGTACAGATGTCACACATATATGAGTGGATCTCATGTATATATGAATAGTTGAGATCTAGTTGAGATCCAAAGGAATTGTGGGGATGAAAAAAAAGAAAAAAAAAAAGAGAGAGAAGTTCCCAAACATTTTTCTGCAAACATATGCACGTGTGTAGTGCTGAATTAACCTGAAAAGAAAAAAGCAACTTCTATTTTTCTGCAAACATATGCACGTGTGTAGTGCTGAATTAACCTGAGAAGAAAAAAGCTACTTCTATACGGCATAGATGAAAGCTTGGTGAGAGAGAGAGGGAGAGAGTTCAGTTCAAACCTTGGCTCTGGCACGCATCATCGTCAAACCCATTTGCTAAATTAAATGGCATGATCTTTTTTACTAGTGGAAAAACTGTGGAATTCAACAATCCCATTCTAGTCTGCTCTGTTTTTGTCCTTTACCCTTTTGCCTAATTGCCTCATTGTTGCTTTTCTTTTTCACTCCCTCATCTTGGGTTGTAATGGATGGCCTCTTCCTTTCTTTCTAAACCCCCTCTGTGAGTTCTCTCTCTCCCCCCTCTCTCTCTCTCACTTGTCTACTTTCAAGCTTCCTGAGATTTCTTCATTTTTGCACTACCTTTTTCTGTTTATTTATTTATTTATTTTTTAAACTCTGTTTTTAAACTTGATTATTTGCACTTAAAATGGACCTCCTTTGCCACCAAGTTGTTAATGCTACGATGGGTGGTTCTTATTTTGCAGTTTTAGCCAAACAGTATTCATATATGTTCTTGAATTTGTGATCTTACCAACTTTTTGGTTTTGTTCATGAACAAGGTTGATTTTGAGCTCATATTCACTAGGGCTATAATAGGTTGCTTATGTTTCCCCTACGAGCCTGTATTTATAGTTTTAGAGCTTGAATCTTCGTATTGATGTTCTTAATATATTTATTTATTCATTCATTTTAACTATCTTTGTTTACTCTTCATGGGTTGTCTGCTGAGAATTTTCAAGGGTTTAAGCAATATAACATGTTCTTGAGCTTTTTCAGAGCTGGAATTTGGAATTTCCAACAACAACTTTGATATTAAACTAGGTTCCTATGTTCTCTTTGCAGATTGAAATTTGGTGTTGGTGTTTGTAAATACAGTTCACCATGATTCTAGTATGGGTACTGATATTTATGGTTTTTAACAATGGATATATTTCCAATGGAATTAGTACAAATAGTTCTAAAAGACCTGATGTTGTGAACATTGGGTCGATATTCACTTTTAATTCTGTAATCGGCAAAGTTGCTAAAATTGCCATTGAAGCTGCAATCGAAGATGTGAATTTCGATCCAACAATCCTTGGAGGAACCAAACTGAAACTCACAATGCACGATTCAAACTTTAGCGGATTTATGGGTATCGTAGAAGGTACACACTTGCAACAACTCTTGTTCATTTTGGAGCTTCATGTTTCATCATTTAGACACTAGTGAATTAGAGCATTTCCAATCTTAAATCAATTTTTTCATCAAATTCAAATTTGATGTAAAATTGGCTAAAACTGTGTTCCAACCATTTCATCAAAATATCAAATCATTCACCAATTTCCCAACATATTTTTAATCAAAGTTGATGAAATTTTTGAGGAGTAAGGTTTGGGAGATAGTTTTTCTTAATAAAAAATGGTTAAAACAAGTTTTTAGGATAAGTTTGGAATTTTTCAAAAAGATTTGGCAGAAAAAGAGAGAAAGGATTGGAGTGTTCCATGACCAAAATTTCAATCAGATTTGATGGAAAAAAAAAAAGACTCAAGGATTGGAGGTGCTCTTACTACCTCATATTGATCCCAACCATTTGAATCTTTATATTTGTTTACTGCTAACAGCTTTACAATTCATGGAGACCGAAACAGTGGCAATCATTGGCCCCCAATCTTCTGTTTTAGCTCATGTGATTGCGCATATTGCTGATGAACTCCAAGTCCCTCTATTATCCTTTGCAGCAACAGACCCGACCTTGTCTTCACTTCAGTATCCGTTCTTTGTGAGAACAACACAGAATGATCTGCACCAAATGGCTGCAATTTCAGAGATTGTTGAGTACTATGAATGGAGAGAAGTGATTGCAATCTATGCTGATGACGATGATGGGAGGAATGGGATAGCTGCATTAGCTGATCAACTTGCCACAAAACGTTGTCAGATCTCTTACAAAGCACCTTTGCATGCTCAACCGAGCCGAACTGACATCACAGATGTATTGGTTAAGGTGGCTTTAGCCGAGTCTCGGATTATTGTTATTCACGCTTCTCCGGGTTGGGGTCTTGATGTACTTGCCGTGGCAAGTTATCTTGGAATGATGGGAAGTGGGTATGTTTGGATAGCGACAAATTGGCTCTCGACTGTTGTGGACACTAGTTCTCCGCTCCCTTGGGGAACAATGGAAAATATGCAAGGGCTTATCACGCTGCGAATGTACACTCCAGATTCGGAGCTAAAACGAAACTTTGTTTCTCGGTGGAACAACTTGACAAGTAACCAAACAGCTAATGGCCCAATCGGGTTGAATACTTATGGTCTATATGCCTATGACACTGTTTGGATGCTTGCACATGCAATTGATGCTTTTTTTGATCAGGGAGGAAACGTTTCGTTTTCAAAGGATTTGAAGTTAAACAGTCTAAGTGGAGGGAATTTGCATTTAGATGCTATGAGCATCTTTGATGGAGGATATTTATTACGCGACAGCGTTTTACAAGTCAATTTGACTGGTTTAACCGGACCTATCAGGTTTGATTCAGACAAATCCCTCATTCGTCCTGCATATGAAGTAATCAATGTGATTGGCACGGGCATTAGGACGATTGGTTATTGGTCTAATTACTCTGGGTTATCGATTGTGCCTCCAGAAATTCTCTACACAAAGCCACCTAATCGTTCCAGTTCGAGCCAACAACTATATGGCGTAATCTGGCCTGGGGAAACAACAGATAAACCTCGTGGGTGGGTTTTTCCAAACGATGGAAGGCAATTGAAAATTGGAGTCCCGAACCGAGTTAGTTATCGTGAATTCATAGCAGAAGTGCCAGGCACTGATATGTTCAAAGGGTACTGTATTGATGTTTTCACTGCTGCCCTAAACTTGTTGCCATATGCAGTTCCATATAAGTTAATACCATTTGGAGATGGCATTGAAAACCCAAGTTGCACTGAGCTTGTGCGCTTGATCACAGCAGGGGTGAGTATGAGATACCGAGTTCATATCATAACGCTAAAACGTTTGTGTGCTTTATATGTTTAATTCCTCAGTTTTTCTTCTCGTGTATAGGTCTATGACGCTGCAATAGGTGACATTGCGATCATCACTAACCGAACAAAGATGGCAGATTTTACACAACCATATGTTGAGTCTGGGCTAGTCGTAGTGGCACCAATTCGGAAATTGAACTCTAGCACTTGGGCATTCTTGAGGCCATTTACTCCGAAGATGTGGGGCGTCACGGCTATTTTTTTCCTTATTGTGGGAGTAGTTGTATGGATTTTGGAGCATAGGATAAATGATGAATTCCGTGGCCCTCCCAGGAGACAAATTGTCACTACTCTATGGTAAGTTCCTAAGAAATATTAATTCTAACTTGTAAGAGGACTTTCCTAGTGCATGTACATTAACGTTAGCAATCTGTTGAAGTCTAAGTTCCCTTCTTTCAATCCGAATCGCCTCTTTGCACAATTTGTCTCTAACCAACCTTTTTCTAATCAACCTTTTTCTTCACCCCTTAAATGAACCAAAAAAGGAAAGGCACTTCCCGGAAACTTGTTAAAAAAAGATTAAACATAGGGGGGTGTAATTTATTCTCAAACGACAAGCTACATGACAGATAACACATGGTTAAAGCACCAAAAATCAAATATCCGTGTCATACAACCAACACTTGGACACTTTTTATATATTTGTATTTTACACTATCATTATATATATATATATATATATATTGTTGTATAATTGTTATAAAATGAGTAAATGCCTGTTTGACACTTAATGTTAATATAACACTATATAATATTGCATAATACTTTTTTTTGCCAACTCTGTGTACCCTTAAATTTAAGGTTTGATGGGTGCGAACTCTAGATACAAATCCACACCCAACACTCATACGCAAGTCTATGCAACATAAGTGGTGATTGTTTCTCCATTTCTTTCTCCTACAATTGTGTATTTTCCAAGAAAATGATATGATTCATTCAATTTAATCTCCTTATTGAATAATTATCTTTGTCTTTTCACTTTGCAGGTTTAGCTTTTCAACTCTGTTCTTTGCCCATAGTAAGTAATACAGCACTAGTTTAAATGATCTTCTCGACTCACCACTAGAAGGAGCTTCCCCAGTACTGATTCTTCTCTCTCTCTCTCTCTCTCTCTCTCTCTGTTTTGTGCAGGAGAAAACACAGTCAGCACGCTCGGTCGCCTGGTGCTTATCATATGGCTATTTGTGGTTCTAATAATCAATTCGAGCTACACTGCCAGTCTGACCTCAATCCTCACAGTACAACAGCTTTCTTCACCCATTAAAGGGATGGAGAGTTTAATAACAAGCAATGATCCCATCGGCTACCAACATGGTTCATTTGCCCAGAATTGACACTGTTTGGATGCTTGCACCATGAATCTAGACTCATTCCTCTTAACTCACCAGAAGATTATGAGAAAGCCTTACAAAAAGGTCCAAAGAAAGGTGGTGTCGCTGCTGTTGTTGACGAGCGGGCGTATATAGAACTCTTCCTCTCAACCCGTTGTGAATTCAGTATCGTAGGTCAAGAGTTCACCAAAAATGGATGGGGATTTGTAAGTATTTCTTTATCATTTTAAAGACTTCAATTTTGGTCTTTGAAATTACACTGACCTTGTTAGAGTTGTCAGCTAACTGCGGTTAATGATAAATATAAAATTACCAATTTGCCCTTTTACAAAATCAAATTTCGACACTATACTTGTAGTCAAACAAAACCCGACTTGTATTGTGATTGCCTCTATCCTTGTGGTTGAACAATTGCTTCTCCCGATCCCCGTCTCTCTAGCCTAGAATTTTTGCAGGGAAGTGACATACAATTTCAAGAATAATGTGAAAGTTCTAGAATTGCTTCTCCGTATCCCCGTCTCTCTAGCCTAGAATTTTTGCAGGGAAGTGAAACAATTTCAAGAATAATGTGAAATTTCCAGAACCACCACGACTACAACCACCCACCAGCCCAAATCACCTCTCTCCAATCACTATTGTCGTGAACCACCACCCCCTGCCTTGCTGATTTGATCGCCCCACCACCCCATCTCTCTCTCTCTCTCTCTCTCTCTCTCTCTCGGCCCACTAAAACCTCCTACCATAGAAGCCCAATCGGCCCTCCCTCTCTCCCACAAACACAATTATAGCCCACAGAACCTCAATCGGCTATATAAACACACACATATATAAACTCAGATTGATATGGGGAATGACAATGTAATTTTATAAATCACAAGGAGGTCCCTGTAATTGTCCAAAACCTCAGGGGAGGAAGCGTAATTATACCTTTTATATTCAACCTACATCAGAACCACATAATGAAGGGGTTTTCTTCTCTGTTTTTTTTTTTGCTCCTTATGTAGGGTTTTTCATTGCCATCTCAATGAGAACCATTTTACAACTAGGGCTGTGAACGAGTTGAGCTGAGTAATCAGTTGTTCAAGCTCTATTCAAGAATTAATGACCTTTAAGATGTGAGCAAGTTTGGTTTGTTATCTCTTGAGTTGATCTCAGATTCACAGTTCCTTTGACTGAGCTAATTCAGAGCCAACCTTAAAAGTTGTCTATTTTTTTGTACAATTAATAGTGCTTATTAGCTTGTTCAGTTCGGTAATGAATTAATGTGCTTCAAATAAGATCCAGCTTGGCTCATTTATCTCACAAGTTAATCTTGAATGACTTCTAGTTGAGCTCAATTCATGTAGGTTGGTTCATTTTACAGCATTATTATCATGAGTCATTCCTTTCCGATCATATGACCACTAACCCATGATGAATCCTCAATAGAGGCCACAACTCATCACAACTGTGATCTGCTCTGCAGTTCTAGTTCTTGAGGAAGAAGGCGAGCAATAAAAAAACTAGGGTTTAATCCAAGTAACTACTAAAACCCTGCATTTTTTATTTTTTCAATTTAACTCAGGACTTGTATGTTGGCTGTGAACTTTTGGAGCTGTATACTATTGCCAAATTAGAATCTGATTACTAATGTAATCGGTTATTCAAAGGCAAAAACAAAAGATTAGGACTTCAAAACATCCCAGTAATTTCCAGGATTCATAAATTGGATATTCCATAAAAATGTTCGACTTCTACTTCAAGCTAAAGCGCTCTTGTTTTGACCTTCTTTCCAAACATGTCGATGTGTTTCAATGTTGACAATATATCTGTCAATAATTGAATTATGCTGTTTTGTTCTTCGTTTCTTATTAGGCCTTCCCACGTGACTCGCCATTAGCAGTCGACATGTCAACAGCCATTCTGAAATTGTCCGAAAATGGTGAACTCCAACGAATACACGACAAATGGCTGATAGGAAGTGCTTGCAGTTCACAAGGGGCAAAGCTTCAAGTGGACCGTCTTGAACTCAAAAGCTTTTCAGGGCTCTTTCTCATATGTGGATTAGCTTCTTTACTCGCGCTTTTCATATATTTCATGCTGATGGTACGTCAGTTCAGCCAGCATTACGTTGATGAGTCCGAGTCTTCTGGAAGCTCCCGATCGGCACGTCTTCAGACGTTCCTCTCATTTGTCGATGAAAAGGAAGAGACTGTGAAAAACCGATCCAAGAGAAGGCAGCTGGAGAGGGCTTCAAATAGAGGGAATGGGGAAGATGATTCAACAAATGCTTCCAAGAAAAGTCGTACAGAAAAAAGTGTTAGTTTTAGCATTGAAGTAAATTAGTTTCATCCAGAACCAAGGTATACAAATTTTTAAATTTTTTTTTTATTTTTATTTTCACAATCTACTGTAATATTGGGAATTCTATTACTATAGCTATAACTATGTTGGTCCTCTGGAAGTGTCTTTCTAACTAGGCATGGCATGAATATATATATATATATATATATGTTGATTTCTTCTAAACTGTTCTTGACAAACTATAACCCAAATCATGGTGGTTCCCTGGAATTATTGTCTTTAGTAACTAGACATTTCGTGCTTATGTTTGCCGACACGTCTTCTAAACGAATCTAGCATTCCACCATCTTTGACTCAAGAATGAAGTAGAAGTACTTAGCATGAATCATAATCTTAGGAGATGTAAGGTTAATATTGATCAGTGTTGCATATGTGAGCGGTATGGGTAAGTTGTCCATTGATTGGTGGCTTGTGTGAGTTGTGTGGCCTAATGTGCTCCGTTTCTGTGGTTATGCCTAGTCATTGAGAGACCAACTCCTAGGGTTCTGGTTGTCCCGTGAAGTTGCAAAGGAAGACATAGCAAACTCTGGCTATATAAATATTGGTTAAATGATTAGTATTTTTTTCTTATCCAAAGTTAAAAAACACAACAGACGGCTATTTTAACAGAGTTCATGTTTCAGCACCCATAAACTCCTGTCCACGGCCAATTTTGGAACCTCTCTTATCACTGAAGATGCAGACACTCTGTTGAACCTCAAATCTGAAAAAGGTCCAAGGCATGGTTTGGTCTCCCCTCAACCTAAAATTGAGGTTTCTATATTGCCTCAACGACAAGGTCTTTGACCAACCCATAACATCAGGATTCAAATGCAGAGACTGTTTCACAAATATTTGAACTGCAACGTGTGTACAAAACTTTCGTATGCAACCCTTATTGTCCAGCTCCTCAGCTTATTGTCTCATTCAAGCAAATCAGACCTACCCTCTCCTCTAAGGGTGAGGGCAAGGAATTCAATAAGACATTTGTTTGGTCAATATCTCAGCTGATCAAGAAGTAGGACTTGTTGCTCCTCCGACCCAAAGTGGATTCTAGGGAAAGGGCAGAGACTCAGACAATATTTTGTCACTCCTGACATCATCATGCTGCCAAACGCAAAGGCATCTCAAGGGTACAGGGCATGAATAAACCAAACAAATCAACAAATTATGAATAATATAAGCATAAGCTGACCTAGCCAATAGGAACAGAAAACCAAAAAAACTAAAAGTGGGTTGACACTGTTGGAACAATTCGTCTTGAATTCTTTAATTGGTGGTCTTCGGGTCTTCAAATCTTGGCGATGAACTTGTCTATGTAGAACAAAAATATGATACTTGAAGTCGCGTTACTTAGTCGCTTTCTTAAAGATAATATTTGCACCCACCAAAAGGGGTGTAGGGAGGTACAGCAAATTCGCCTCTAGGATATAATGAAGCCTGATCTAAAGATTAAGTCTACCGGCATCTGCACTGACGATAGTAGATCAAAATACTCTTGATATAATCAAGAAAACCAAGACACTAATAATTAAATCTGCAGAACTTGATTACTAGTAAGAAAAATAGAAATTTGCTTAAGAAACTCTTGATTGAAAACTCAAAATCAAGAGGGAGAGAGAGAGATGATTAATTGCCGGAATGCTTCTGAATTTTGTGGATGGAATGAAATGGCTGATTTCGCAGCCTATTTATAGGCCTTGATGCACCTGATCTAATGGTATCTGACTGTTGGATCAACGATCTACAGTGCAGATCATTCTCACACCGAATAGATGCCTTGACTAATCACACCTGATCACGATTGGGTGCCATCTTATCCGTATGATCGCGTGCATCTCCAATTAACAGCTATGATCAAATCACTCCAGATCGGACATACAACCGTTCGATCAGTTGGTTGACTCATCGCCAACGGACGCCACGTAGAGCTGATTGTATTCCATGTTGGATCCACATCATCTCTCCAACCTGTCCGATGCAAATAGGAAAGCGCCCTTATGGCGCCGATGCGTTGGTGCAAAGTGCGCCATCAAACGCCACACAACCCATGCCACGCGCGCGCGTGTGCGTGTGCGGATGGTGCTTCGTGTGGGTGCATGCACACTAGCTTTCACCTCACAATTCCATATTCAAAGGAATATTTCATGTAGCACTTTATTAAGTGCTCCATGTTTTCCTCTCTTTCTGATGTGGGACAAAGTCTCCAAGCTTATTTCAAGCTTTCTAAAGAAAAACAAGGAAGGTTTTGAAAACACCTAAATTAAACTATACATTTTAAAAATCATTTTGAAAAATTTCCTAACATTCTCCCACCATTTTCAAAATACCAGATGATGACTCTTAGTTCACTTGGCAGCCTTATGCACAAGTGAAGATATCTTACAATTTGAATCATTCACTTAGTGAAAACATCTCAAAGTTAGTCAAGATGGTATAGTAGACTTGTCTTTGAACTAGCGATCTTATACGACTAACCGGACATGTCTCATGCACAGTTCAGGTTACCTCAAGTATTTAAACAAACCAACACGTGAATTGGCCTTGTGTCTATATCCTGTTTCATGAGCGCTCTAGAGTCAAACCCTTAGACTCATAGGAAGCGGCACCACCTCCTACACTCACATAGGTAAGCTTACTGAGAGTACCCTTGTAATTTACAGTACCCTAACAACTCAGTTGTAAGCTTATTAAGAGTTTGCTAACTCATCATCCTCTTTTCACATTATAGGTACGAAGCACTTCAACCTTGGGATGAAAATGAAATAACACTAAGTTCTTGCAATCACGACATATAGTGTACTTGGGTTCATTAAACTCAAGACTTTGATGTTTCTTCAAGCGTTGAGTTGAGTTTCTACCAGGAGTGATTATGTTAAGTGGGCTTAAGACCTATCCCTTTTGATGTTTGCCACACCAAATCCTTTGCAAGTCCCTTTGTTAAGGGGTCAGCCAAGTTTTCACTTGACTTTACATAACTAGTGGTAATCACACCTTCTGTGATTAACCGCCTAACACAGCTATGTCTCAGTCTTATATGCCTGGACTTTCCATTATAGACATGGTTGTAGGCCTATGATAGAGTTGCTTCACTAGCACAATGCAAAGATATTGGTGGCATAAGTTTTGGCCATATCTTAATCTCTAACAAGAGATTCCTTAGCCACTTTGCCTCTTTGCGACAAGAAGCCAATGCTACAAATTCTATCGCTATAGTTGAGTGCATATTTGCTTCTTAGAACCCCAAAAGACAGCTCATCCTCCAAGAGTAAAAATCCAACCACTCGTGGACGAGTGATCTTCACGGTTAGTTATCCAACTAGCATCCGTGAATCCTTCCAGCACTGTTGGATAGCCATTATAGACTATTCCATAGTCTATGGTTTTCCTCAAGTACCTAAGTACTCCGTTAACAGTATGCCAATGCACACTATTGGGATTACTAGTGTATTTACTAAGTTTTCCCACTGCAAATGCAATATCATGTCTAGTGCATGTCATGGCATACATCAAGCTACCTATTACTCTTGAGTATTCTAGCTGATTAATAGCTCTTCCAGTATTAGGATACAATTTTAAATTTGAATCAAAAGGTGTTGACGTGGGTTTACAATTATATTGATTAATTTTCTTAAAAATTTTCTCAATATAGTGCGACTGGGTTGGAATCAAATCATTATACTCTCGTTTGATCTTAATACCCAGAATTACATCAGCCAAGCCTATGTCTTTCATACTAAAACTAGACGACAAGAAACTTTTAGTACTTTCAGGGCTTGTTTGATTCCACAAGACTAATAGTGAGGTATAAATAATCCTATCAAATTAGTGTGGTATTGACAATCCCACCCCTACCCCATTATTAATAATCCTACAAATTTGTTGGATTAATTATCTATTGGATTAATAATCCTAAAACAAATTGTCAAAACAAACATGGGATAATTGGGCCCACGGATTAATAATCTCAATCCCATGCTCTAATCCTTCCAATCAAACATACCCTCAATGACATCATTGTCAGTACCAAAAATAAGCATTTCATCTACATATAGGCATATGATTACACTTCTATTGCCAGTAAACTTACTGTATACACACTTATTAGATTCATGTATCCTAAAATCATTTGACATTATTACTTTGTCAAATTTCTCATGCCACTGTTTTGGAGCTTGTTTTAGTCCATGTATGGCATATAGGTCATGTTTGTTTGAGCGGACTGGATTAGCATTCCCATGACTAATAATCATGAGATTACGAATCCGTTGGATTATGTATCCTATCTTAACTAAAAGTCAAGTTTAAAATAATTAATCCGTACTTTAATTGTTTAACCAAACGTCGGATTAATAATTTTATTGGACTATTAGTCCAATCCCAAGCTCATGTCCACCCAAACAAACATGGCCATAGTGACTTCACAAGTTTACACACTTTGTGTTCTTGACCCTGTACAACAAATCTTTCCGGTTGTTGCACGTAGATTTCCTTATCTAACTCTCAATTTAGGAAAGCGGTCTTAACATCCATTTGATGGATTTCAAGCTTATAGATTGAGGCTAAGGAAATCAACACTCGAATGGTGGCAATTCTGGCCACTAGAGCATATGTATCAAAATAATCGATACCCTCTTATTGAGTAAAACCCGTAGTAACTAATTTTACTTTGAACTTGTCAATCATGCCATCAACTTTCATTTTCCTTTTGAAAATCCATTTACAACCAATTGGTTTGGATCCAGGTGGCAAATCAACAAGTATCCAGGTATTGTTACCCATGATAGAATCCATCTCATCGTTTATTACTTCTTTCCAGAAAGCAACATCTTGAGACTTCATAGCCTCCTCAAAGGTTAATGGATCTGAATCCATATTCAAAGAAATCATTGTTTGCTTACAATAAGCTTTCCTAGTTCCTTTTATAAGGTAAACAATGAAATCAAGGCCGAATGATTTCTCAGTCCTAGCCTTTTTACTCATCCTTAGCTCAATAGGCTCATTAGGCTCAATGGGTTCGTGTCGTTCACTTTCCTCTGTAGACATCAAAGGAGTTGATTCGTTTTCTTGATTAGAATCTAACCTTGGAATGGTTGTGAAACAATTCTCATAAAAAACTGCATCCCGTGATTCAATAATGGTATTTGTTTTCACTGAACCATAGGGCTCTACTACCAGAAACCTATATGTTTTGCTATGTATAGCATAGCCAATGAATATGCATTCAATTCCTTTTTCATCTAATTTTTTCCTTTTAGGTTCAGGCAATCTGACTATTGCTCTACAGCCCAATGTTTTCAAGTAACCAAGATTAGGTTTCTTTTTTTTCCAAAGTTCATAAGGAGTAACATTTCTTCCCTTCAGAGGAATTCTATTGAGTATGTGACAGACAGTGAGCAAGGCTTCACCCCAAAAACCAGAACTTAAACTGGAGTAGGAAAGCATAGCATTAATCATTTTTGTTAATGTCCTATTCTTTCTTTCAGCTACTCCATTTTGTTGTGGTGTGTAGGGTGTAGACTTCTCATGAATAATACCAACATTTTCACAATATTCTGGAAAATGATATTCACCGCCTCTATCAGACCTAAATCTCTTTATTTTGACATTAAATTGATTTTCTACTTCTGTCTTAAAATCTTGAATTTATTAAGCACCTCATCTTTTGAATGCAAAAGATAGATATGACAGTACTTAGAAAAATCATCAATGAATGTTACAAAATATTTCTTACCACTATGCATGTCACAAACATCACTATGCACAAGTTCAAACAGAGATGTGATTTTATCACTTTAGGAAAAAGAATGCAAGTAATTTTAGATTGCACACAAAATTTGCATTTTTCAAACATATCATTATCATACTTAGGAATTAAATCTAAATTAACCATATTATGCATTTTCCTAGTATTAACATGACCTAAACAAGTATATCATAAAAAAAGAGAATCAACAATATAAGCAGAAACAGATGTATTATTGATAACATTAAGTTTGAATATTCTTTGATACATGTAGCCCTTCCTAACAAAAATCTCACCCTTAGACAAAACAAATTTGTCCGACTCAAATACTAACTTGAAACCATGCTTATTAAGCAGGCTTCCAGATACAAGGTTTTTTCCTGACATCAGGTACATGATAAACATTACTAAGACTTAAGACTTTTCTAGATGTGAACTCTAAATCTACCATCCCTTTGCCTTTGATAGCAACAGTTGAAGAGTTGTCCATGTAGAAAAACTATTCCATCACTCACTTGTTCATAAGTAGTGAAACGACTATTATTATTGCAGACGTGCCTTGTTGCTCCTAAGTCAACCCACTAGTCACCAGCATCTTTGAGCATGTTCACCTCGGATATAACAGCCACAAACTTGTTCTTGGCATTTGATGCTTCCGACTTCTTCTTGTATGACCAACATTCATTTTTGAAGTGCCCTGGCTTGCCATAGTGCCAGCAAGTGTCTTTTGGCTTCTTAACATCTTTTTCGGGTTGGGGTTCACGCGGACACTTCTTTTTGTTAAACCTCTTGCCATTATCCACCGTGTGGATCTTGGAAGTCTGAGCCAATTGGTTATCTTTACCTTCAAGAAGCCTTGACACTTCCTCAACTCGAAGGTGTTGAGCCAATTTCTCTAAAGTAAGATCTTCCTTTTTGTGTTTCAGAATTTTCTTAAAATCCTTCCAAGAAGTTGGCAGTTTCTCTATTATAGATGAAACTGTAATAGATTCATCCATGTTCATAATCTTTTATCGAAACTGACTCAGAATATGTTGGATCTCATGGAATTGTTCTATAATGGGCTTTGTATCAATCATAGTGAAACGCATAAATTACTAATAAAAAATTTCTTACTGGTGGCATCCTCGGTGAGGTACTTTGACTATAATATGTCCCATAGTTGCTTTGCCGTTTCCAGATGTTGATACACATCGAACAAAGAGTCTGACAATGCATTCAAAATGTGTCCTCAACAAATGTAGTCGTCATTCTCCCATTTGGTTTTGGTACGAGTTTGCTTTATAGTCTCGTCTTCTTGCTCCACCGGATAAGGGGTAGTTAGCACATAGACCACTTTGAGAGTGGTGAGCAAAAAGTGCATCTTCTTTTGCCAGCATCAGAAATTTCCTTCATCAAAATAGTCAAGCTTCATGAAATCTTGAGTCATTTTCTGAATAGACATCGCAATATCTAAATAGTCTTTAGATTGTTGGAACAATTCGTCTTGAATTCTTCAATTGGTGGTCTTCGGGTCTTCAAATCTTAGCGATGAACTTGTCTATGTAGAATAGAAATATGATGCTTGAAGTCACATTACTTAGTCGCTTTCCTAAAGACAATATTTGCACCCACCAGAAGGTGTGTAGGGGGTTACAGCAAATTCGCCTCCAGGATACAATGAAGCCTGATCTAAAGATCAAGTCTATCGGCGTCTGCACTAACGACAGTATATCAGAATACTGTTGATATAATTAAGAAAACCAAGATACTGATAATCAAATCTGCAGAACTTGATTACTAGTAAAAAAAACAAAAATTTACTTAAGAAACTCTTGATCAAAAACTCAAAATCAAGAGAAGAGAGAGAGATAATTGTAGGAATGCTTCTGAATTTTGTGGATGGAATGAAATGACTAATTTCGCAGCCTATTTATAGGGTCTTGATGCGTTGGATCGACGATCTACGATGCAGATCATTCTCACATCGAAAAGATGCCTTGACTAATCACACCTGATCACGATCGGGTGCTATCTCATCCGTACGATCGCACGCATCTCCAATCAATGGCTATGACCAAATCACGTCCGGGCTAAGTGCAAATCAACAATCTACGATGCAGATCATTCTCACACCTGATCACGATCGGGTGCCATCTCATCCGTACGATCGCACGCATCTCCAATCAATGGCTATGACCAAATTGCGTCCGGACTAAGTGCAAGGTGCACCATCAAACACCTCACAGGCCACGCCACGCGCGCAAGTGTGGATGGTGTGGATGTATGCACACTAGCTTTCACCTTACAATTCCTTATTCAAAAGAATATTCTATGTAGCACTTTATTAAGTGCTCCATACTTTCCTCTTTTTTCAATGTGGGACAAAGTCACCAAACTTATTTCAAGCTTTCTTAAAAAAAAACAAACAAAGTTTTGAAAACATCTAAAATTAAACTATACATTTTAAAAACCACTTTGAAAAATTCCACAACAGATACAAGCCAATAAGGTTAAATTAATGTGTGTTTCGTTGTCCATCATTCAATCAGACTACATTTACATGATACACAACCCACTGCAGAATGCAGACTATGAAGTCTCCTCCAAGCAAAATCAAGAGATGATGAACAATGAAGAGGAATACCAAAAGATAAATACGGGATTATAAAAGCTAATTAGATTAAACGGTTAATTGATACATCATTCAGTGACAGCCATAATTACATGCATACACTATTTACAATTGATGAACTATAAATACCAAATATCATACCATCAGTAGTTACTTGGATACCAACTATTTTGTGCAGACCATGAGCCTTTACAAGGCAGCCTCTTGGAGTAAAGACTCAAACTGCATTGCTTTTGAAGTACTTTTGAAAACATTCTTCTTCCCCACAATATTTGTACATAACTTTGTATACTTCAATCAACAGTTTTGGGAAGCGACTTGCGAAATAGTCATCAAATCCATCAGGTACTGGTCCTAAGATTTCCTGAAATAAACATCAAAAATCAAACTCATATCAGCCATTCAAAGAAAGAACAAAACTGATACTACAATTCTGAAGAACACTGGTAAATAGCTGCTAAATATCAATTTGTCATTACTGTCATATATAAAAATGCATGAAAACAAAACAAAACAGAGTTCAATGAGCAGAGAAGAAATGGGTCATCTTCCTCTCAGATCCTAAACAGCAAGCATCCAAGAATTAAAAATATACATATATATACACATACAAGAACACAACCCAATTTATTGACTGTTGGCATGAGAAATGAACCTGTATTTCAATAGGGAGTTCTCTATAATGATTTAACTTGTTTCTCATCACCCGAAGTAGGTCGCGAACACTGTTGAACTTATAACGCCTGTACCGTCCAATATTATTAAGGAATGCAGGTTCCATCTTTTCATCCCATTTGGTGCCCAAAGCCACAGGAGCTATACTTTCTAATGCTTTTAGAAGAACAGAGTCAGTCTCCCTATCTTCCAACTCTACTCTGTCGCTCGTGTCACGGAAAAATGATAATCGCATCTCAGAATTCCAAAACAAAGGATGATGAAACACCTCCAATGCCTTTGGCCTGCAAAAAGAATAGTAGAACTCAGAGAATTAGTGTCATAAATATATAATAAAAAATAAAATAAAAATCAAAGAACTGAGAAGCCAGCAAAAGTTATTGCATAAATGTCCCAAAAACATCAGTGTATTAATGATAGAAGGTACAGCTAACACCACAGTTGGGCCAATCCATTATGTTCTGTACATCACACTAGAGGTTACATTATTTTCATTCAACAGATTGCAATTTTTAGCAGTTCATAAATGACAGTATATTGTCTTATAATTCTGTACCCTCCATGAAACAGATTAGTGTCTCCGAATATCACGAAGGAAAAAAAAAAAAAAATACATGCATTGAAAGGCAACAACTCAAAACTATTGCCACATAGTCATCAAGGCAACAATGTCCTTAGTTCTTAGTAAAGTTTTAAAGGGCTTTATCGAGGCTTGCCTCAAGGCTTTAAAAGGCTTTGATTTAAGGCTATACTCCCCAAAAAGCTTGCGCATCACAGTTTGAGGCATGCGCCTTAGGTGCGTCTTGTATACGCATATGAAGAGTTTGCCTTAGGCTCTTGTTAAACATAATTTAGAAGATAGTTTAAACATAAAAAAGCAAAAATAAAACGAAACTCCTTTTGCAACTATATTTTATAGCAGTGAATGATCAATCAAGAAAAAACACAAAGTTAATGCTCAAGTGAGAAGTACAATCACCAAAGTTGCAACTATATTTTATAGTAGTGAATGATCAATAAAAAAAAACACAACGTTAATGCTCAAGTGAGAAGCACAATCACCAAAGCTAAGAATGTTAGTTTCACTTTCAATGAAGGCAAAATTTTCTTCTCTACAGTGCAATGTTCAATGCCTCAAGGAGAAAAGTATTTAAACCTTTAAAGTTGTTTTTATTTATTTTTGTAATATTTAAAAATATTCAATTTATTTACTAACTATTAAAATTTGAATTTGAAATGCTTACGCCTCACCTCATGAGGAGAAAAACGATTCGAGTTACACATTCGCCTTTAAAAACTTTGGTTCTTACCTCAATTCAGCATTAGGATCCAATAAACGCGATATCAGATCCACAGCTTCTGGAATATACTCCACTAAGAAGAGGTCCGCTTTGTTCTTAACAATATTGATGTCACGTTCGAAACGATCACCAAATGGATGTCTACCACCAGTGATGCAGTAAAAGAGAACACAACCTAAGCTGAACATATCAACTGCTCGAGTTTGGCGTCCTTGGAGAAGCTGTTCAGAAGCTTGCCATCCTGCACTTCCATAACCTGCAATAGGTCATAAAATAAAATACTGAACAAAAGAACTAGTAACCCTTTGTGAATTATGAGGCTAGGCAGTGCATATGAAGAGAGAGACAGTAGCATAATTCTCTTGGCTCTCCCAGGCTATGAAGCATGAACACTTCAAAATGGGTACTGTAGCGGTGTCAGACACAGGGGTACGCCGGGGACACGTACGGGACATGCCAAATGGTGTGTCCTAATTTTATTATTTTTTTTGCAGGGGGCATGGCAGGGACACACCGGGGACGCGCGTGTCAAAATCTGGACACATTAAGACACACTGGGGCACGCCTTTAATTATTATTATTATTATTTTTTAGGGGACACGGCGGGGACATGCTGACGACATGTATGTCCAAATATAGATGATCTATTAATTTGTTTAAATGTAGTGGTTTATATATATATATATGTTGAATTAATATTAGTTTTTATTAATTTTGATTGTTTGGTAACATAATGTTAATCTACATAGCAAATATATATAAAATTAAAATAATAAAAATTTGCCGTGTCCCCTGCTGTGTCCCGTGTCCGTGTCCGTGTCTATTCTTCATAGCTCTCAGGTCTACCATAAACCAAAATTAACTTCGAATCAACTTTAAGTTATTACATCGTAATCTACATAAATTTATATGTCAAGCAGAGGCTGCAAAGGGATCGTAGAAACCAACACAATTGGTTGAATAGAGGCTATAAACCTCGCAGATTATAAAGCTTCAAATGCACAGTAAACAAAGGATATATGCAGTTGCTGACATAATAAATAGTCAAGAATTTAACTTCTTTTTTTTTTTATAAGTAATAACTAGTCAAGAATACTTGCCAGTAGCATGATGGCCCAAGGAAGACACATCCCCAACAAGATGTTTGCTGATACCCATATCAGAAAGCTTTGCACATAGAGATCTTTCTTTAATTATCAATACATTTTGAGGCTTTAAGTCCCGATGAATTATTCCCAATTCATGTAAATGCACAAGCCCAGAAACCACATCTCTGTGTTACAGATAAGCAGAAGATCAAGCAAATACTGAATTTAGTCCAATTAAATTGGCATAAACAGGTACCTACATACTTGGGAAGACCAACAAGGTTATCTAGTCTCTATTTATAACCACATTTGTTTTCACAGAAATAAACAATTGCTTTGCTGGTGTTGGCACTCAAGATGTAGGTCATAAATCCAGCCACTAAATCCATCAAAATCAGTCCTAACAAATCTTGAGAAAACTTTCCAGAATCAGAACAGTTTTAGGGTGCATCAATATCTATAATGCTCCGTAAATGTTTTTTAACTGAAAAGCATACCATGGGAATATACCTAGGCTGACTCACCTATGGACTGGCAAAAATTAATGGACATTAAGGTTTGGTTACATCTATCTTGTGGTAAGAACAAGAATGCCATTGTTTGATAGAAGCACAACAGTGACATACTCAGCAAGAGATGGTGACAACTTGAGCGTAAAATCTAATTGCAAAATTAAAATTTTCAACTGACCTCATCAATTTCAGTAACATAGGTGAAGGATAGCCATTTGCTTTCCACAATTTAACATCCTGCATAATGCTCCTCATTGAGTCCAAGCGGACTTTATACTCTATCATAGCTCCTGTAGGTTGATCCTCAGTAAAGGTTGGTATTTCCGAAGTCTCTGAGTACATCTCAATTAGATCTCCTAAACTGCAAGTGCAACGCTCCAGTGCCAGATACACAAAATCTTGATCAGATTCCACTCCATACCATCGAACAATATTTGGATGTCTGTCGGATGCAATAAGATTCTGGATTTCTTTAAAGGCAACATCATGATGGGTCTTGACAAGACGTTTTACAGCAACCGGACGACCTTCATAAATTCCCTCAAGGACAATGGTACCATTGCTCCCCTTAGCAATTTCTACATTGGAGACAAATAGTTTCCCAATTGTGCGTCCATCTGTGTCACCATGCACTGATGTGTTTAGTTTCAACCATGGTCTGTTACCACTCTCAGAGGAAGTATATCCATCACCATATGAGGTGTTTTTGTCCTCAACAATGCCACTATTCTTTCCTGACTTCCGATTCTTCTTCCTTTTTGGAGACACAGTTCTTGCATTTAAAGAACTGGGCTGCTTATTCGACTCAATGTCTTTTCTAGTCACTAAAGCACAGCGGTATGTGACAAAGCCCACGAGAATGATGACAAAAGAAATGAAAGACAATGCATTAGGCCTTTCAGAATGTAGGTTCAGTCCACCATTCACATCTTGCATACCAGAGATCACCAAATTTTCAGTCATTTGAGCCAAAGATGGCACTAGATCACTGTCACTATTGTGAAAAAGATTTGGAGAAGGCAGTGAAAGTATCTTATCACCCTTGGCTTGAAGCACTGGGAGCATCACATCTTGATCATGAGCTTCAGATAGCATATTAGGCTTATAAAAGGGTTCTAACATATTATGACTGCGAAAGCGGTAGACAATAGCCTTTGATTGACATGGCAATGGCATATTAAAGTGAACACCAGGTTCAGAAGGGAATCCATATCCTGGATCTGAAAGGGCCCCACTAAATGAATTCTCAATGTCTTGACAAAGAAAAGCCGCCCCAATTTCAGAAACTGTCATGTTCCACAGAACTTTCTCCGCATTTAGAACAAAAGACTTTAGTGAATAATCAGTTCTTGTGATGTAAAGAGGCAGCTCATCAGGGTTAAGGTTCAGAGAACCAGACTGTCCCTGTTCATTAAAGGTAGTGCTGTTTAACACACTCTTCTCATCAGACAACCTGTAAGTGTAGATTAGCCTTCCAGTCTTAGCATCAACCAGAAACACAGTAGTTTTTTTGGATCCAAGTACAATCCCTCCGTCATCTGCTATAAGTGGTGTGATGCTGATGAATTCTTCAATGGTCTCTTTCAGTTTCTGATACAGCAAGAACGATACAAGTATTCAAGAGCATATGGTAAGTGAAGTGGGGTTTGGCCAACGATTTTTAGTATAAAATGGCCAATGTGTTTGGAAAACGCTAAAAAAGTTACATTTTTGTAAGTGGGAAAGTTGCTTTTTTCTCTTTTGTCGGCTAAATAAGCCATTACCAAATGGACAAGGTTTTGTTGGCTGAAATAGCCAAACCAAACAGGACCTGCTTATGACAAAAAGTTAGTACCATACCAAAATATGGTTCATGTAATCAACATTGACATGAAAAAGAGCCCAGAAGCAGGGTCAACGATCATCAGATTATTTAAATCCCAAACTGTATTGTAGTCTCTATATATACTGACACCATAATTATAAGCTTGTATGAAAAACACCAGAATGCCTAAGTTGTAGCTCACACCCCAGAAGAGAGCAATTATAACTCTCTCCAATCCATCAAAATCAGTCCTAACAAATCTTGAGAAAACTTTCCAGAATCAGAACAGTTTTAGGGTGCATCAATATCTATAATGCTCCGTAAATGTTTTTTAACTGAAAAGCATACCATGGGAATATACCTAGTCATTAAGTTCACGGCAGGCGGAGAGCAGTTATCTCTCTCTCCAATCCATCAAAATCAGTCCTAACAAATCTTAAGAAAATTTTCCAGACTCAAAACAGTCTCAAAAGTATAGGAAAATAGTTAACAGAATCCTAGCTTTCAGGATGAAAACAAGATAGCTGCTTTCAAATTTAGTAATGAAAGTTTGAGTTTGAAAATAAACAAAGGGAAAGGATAACAGCCTCACCCTGTGAAACTCATATGCAAGAAGAAGCCAACTTGGTTCTGCAACCTAGAAGTTTAACAATCACGACACTTTTCGCAAAAGAAAATTTGAATCAATGAAACTATGCAGCCTAACAATTGATTTCCAAAACCTTGAGATTGCTTGCTTATACGGAAACCTAGGTCAGCTGATTTAAAAGCAAACTTTTAGCAGAAAGACGTGCAACTTGCTTCTTTTGGATCTCATATTGCAAATTGCATGCGTAACTTCCTTGGCTTATGGAGACTATAGTTCTTGTGCTTTTTTTAAAAAGTAAATATATAAATGCTCTCTTTTTCTCCACTCTTCTCCCCCTACCAACAAAAAAAATGGATCAGAGAGAACCCCTTGATAGCGCTTAGACCACAGGTCCACAGCCTAATTAGGCAGACCAGGAGAGAGGACACCAATTTTCGAAGGCGATCTTATCTTTAAGCAACTCCTATTCATTTTCATTTGACTCTATTGCCTTTAATAACTTGAGTAAGAGTTTGTCCTCAACAAAACATGACACCAAAACTCTGTTGAGTTTGGTAATTCTATTTAGAAAATCTTGATGCAACAACATTAAAACCTACCTCAGAAAAAACACATCCCAAGAGCAAAAATGTATTTGGATCAACAATTCTAAACTTATGATATAATCATATTACTTGAGACTCACTAATATATTTTATCACATCATGACATCGGGCATTAACAACACACCATAAATACATAACAGAAATTAGCCTTAATAACAATAACCTTGCAATCATAGTTGTCAAATCGAGATTCGTATCGTGAATCGAAATGACCTTGTACCGAATCGCGAATCGAATCGTGAATCATCCCAAGAGCAAAAATGTATTTGGATCAACAATTCTAAACTTATGATATAATCATATTACTTGAGACTCACTAATATATTTTATCACATCATGACATCGGGCATTAACAACACACCATAAATACATAACAGAAATTAGCCTTAATAACAATAACCTTGCAATTTATTACGCAGCCCACCTCCAGTACATTGGATGCCTCAGGCATCATCAGATGCACAAAGGATTCACTTCGTCTAGTGCTTAGAACAGGCCAATAAGTTCTAGGAATTTGTTGTTCAGTAACAACTGCCCTTAGAACCAGATAGGTTGCTTTTCTAGGAATAGTTAGGTCTCATAGAAAGTACGAAAGGCTCACTATAAGAATTGGCCAACTTCACTGTGTATGTAAAAACAGTCTTAGACACAAAAATCGACAATGAAAGAGGCACAACCTTCTTTGGTTTCCACCAAGAGAAGTAATAAGCAGCTGCATATTTACCTGATATGCCCCTTGCCATCTTTGCAAATTCTGCACAGTTGCCCTTAGTAGAACAAACTAAATATGGGAACGGCTTGAAAAACAGCACATAGGGTTGTTTTCGGGAAGTGGCTTTTTGGCTTTTTATGAAAAGACGTGCAAAAAAGTACAGAGAGTGAGTTGACTTTTTGTAGTGGCTTTTTGGCTATTTTAGCCACTTCCCAAAATAGGCCATAGGGTATTATGGAGCATCCTAAAATTCCTTAGTTCTATATTCAAACTCTTCTAGCCATATAAATTCTCTTCCATTCATATTGTTTTGAATGATTTAATCCACCCACTTCACAAAGGACATAGCATAAAGAAACTAGAAAAACACGGGGATAGAAATTATAAATAAATAAAATCATAGCTAGAAAAAATGTATCAACAAGAAATAAATTCTTTCATTAGGAAAAAAGGGGGTTGCTTGGTTGACTAGGAGCATGCCAGATGAGTGGAAGAAGAGTATTTTAGTGCAAATCTATAAGAATAAAGGAGATGTCTAGAATTGCAACAACTATAGAAGAATCAAGGTAATGCGTCATGTAATGAAAGTGTGGGAGAGAGTGATAGAACGCCGATTGTGAGATATAACAAAGGTGTCAGAGAATCAATTTGGGTTTATGCCTGGTAGGTCAACAATGGAAGCGATCTATCTTTTGAGGAGAGTAATAGAAAAGTATAGAAAAAAGAAAAGAAACATTCATATAGTGTTTATTGACCTTGAGAAAGCATTTAATAGAGTGCCTCGGGATATAATATAGTGGGTGTTAACAAAGAAAAGGGTGACAAAAAGTTACATTGATGTAATTAGGGACATGTATGGAGGGGTGGTGACCACTATTAGATCGCTTGCTGGAGAAATAAATGAATTTCCTATTACTGTAGGATTACACCAAAGATTTACCTCAAATCCTTATTTTTTTATTTTAGCTATGAATGAGTTGACGAGAAATATCTAGGATGACATGCCATGGTGTATGTTTTTTGCAGACGATATAGTGCTAGTGGATGAGACTAGAGAAGGAGTTAATACAAAGTTGGGGATTTGGAGAAAAGCTCTTGAATCTAAAGGATTCCGGATAAGCAGAACTAAGACAGAGTACATGGAGTGTAAATTTAGTAACAGTAACAATGAAAACCGAAGAGAAGTGAAGATTGAGAACCAAGAACTGCTTAAGAGTGAACATTTTCGTTATTTAGGGTCGATTATCACAACAACATGGGAGATTGATGCAGATGTGGCCCATAGGATCAAGGCGGGATGGTGTAAGTGGAGAAGTGCGTCTGGGGTACTGTGCGATAAACGAATACCCACTAGACTTAAAGGTAAATTTTATAGAACAGCTATTAGACCAGCGATGTTGTTGGGACAGAGTGTTGAGCAACCAAGAAACAATATGTAGATAAAATGAGTGTGGCTGAGGTGAGAATGCTAAGGTGGATGTGTGGTAAGACTATACAAGACAGAATTAAGAATGAGTTTATTTGGGAATGAGTAAGAGTAGCACCGATAGAAGATAAGTTGAGAGAGAATCAGTAGTGAAGAGATGCGATGCTGTAACAGTAGATGAAAGTGTTAAGGGACGGGATAGGCCTACATTAACATTGGTTAGCGTTGTAAATAGAGATATGGATCTACTTAATTTGACTAACGAAATGGCCTTTGATAGGGCTGCGTGAAGAAGAAGGATTCATGTAGCCGACCTCATTTGATGGGACTTAAGGCTTGGTTTGGTTTGGTTTGGTTTGATTTGGTTTGGTTTGGTTTGGTTTGGTTTAGGACACCTGCAAGGACAGAACTAAGATTTCATTATCGGAGGAGTCAAAAAAAAAATAATTTTTTTCACCATATACACAAAACACACATGTATGTATAATATGATATATATATATATATATATATAAATTATATATACATAAAAAAAATTTAAACACTATAGAAGCAATCTCTAATAAGATGAAGAAGTTTTTTTGGTGTAAAATAGAAAGAGAATTCAAGATGGAAGAAAAATAACATATATATATTTTACATTAGGATGCCATTTTGTACCGAATCGCGAATCGAATCGAATCGTGAATCGTAAAGATTCGGTCACTTTTTTAAAATTACTTAAAAATATATATTTACACATTTAGATGTTAAATATATCTTATCAATATGAAATATTTAGACTTAAATCAATGAAAATGTTATTTTGCGTGATAATCACATAGTTTAATAGGTAAGAAGTTAACAAAGATTCTTATGTAAGATCACTATCTTACTTAAGATCACTATCTTACTTTTTTGTCTTTTTAGATATTTTTTATCAACCATTCTTAATAAAGATAATAACCAAATAGACAAATTATCAATTTCCAAAATAACAATAATTAATAACGATATTAATATTTGGACAATAAGCATACGTACTTTTCTAAGTAACAGTGAGCAAATAATAAGAAAGAATTATTTAGAATATTTTATTTTAAAGCCTAAAACATTTTCAAAGGTATAACAGACCTCACATATGTAATATTCAATTATATTCAATTTAATAAAATAGTAATAGATAATTCATATTGTAACTTTAATCTTACACATCTTTAGAAGATATATTATGAATTTTTAAAGGGAAAAAAAAAATGAGAAGAAAGGTTAAAAATATGTTGGGTCTGACTGAATCTGATTGGATTCTATTAAAAATTTCATGATCACTAAAATAACAACAAATTATGTATATATGTTGGTTATTTTAGTATTAAACGCTATTAAAAGTTGTATTATGTCATTTTCACTAAAAACATGAAAAAAAAATAGTTGAAAATATGCCGGACACAATAATTTAAAAAATTACATGAATCATAAAAAGTGAATTAAATCGTAAATCGATTGTGAATCGTGCGATTCACTAGAGATTTACTTCCAAAATAGATTCACCCATAGATTCGTATCGATTTTGCAAAAATTTGAATCGAATCGCGAATCGTAAGATTTTGATAAAAAAGAGATTCACTTATAGATTCGTATCGATTTTGCAAAAATTGTGAATCGAATCGTGAATCGAATCGCGAATCGTAAGATTCTGATAACAGAGCTTGCAATTTATTACGCAGCCCACCTCCAGTACATTGGATGCCTCAGGCATCATCAGATGCACAAAGGATTCACTTTGTCTAGTGCTTAGAACAGGCCAATAAGTTCTAGGAATTTGTTGTTCAGTAACAACTGCCCTTGGAACCAGATAGGTTGCTTTTCTAGGAATAGTTAGGTCTCATAGAAAGTACGTAAAGGCTCACTATAAGAATTGGCCAACTTCACTGTGTATGTAAAAACAGTCTTAGACACAAAAATCGACAATGAAAGAGGCACAACCTTCTTTGGTTTCCACCAAGAGAAGTAATAAGCAGCTGCATATTTACCTGACATGCCCCTTGCCATCTTTGCAAATTCTGCACAGTTGCCCTTAGTAGAACAAACTAAATATGGGAACGGCTTGAAAAACAGCACATAGGGTTGTTTTTGGGAAGTGGCTTTTCGGCTTTTTATGAAAAGACGTGCAAAAAAGTACAGAGAGTGAGTTGACTTTTTGTAGTGGATTTTTGGCTATTTTAGCCACTTCCCAAAATAGGCCATAGGGTATTATGGAGCATCCTAAAATTCCTTAGTTCTATATTCAAACTCTTCTAGCCATATAAATTCTCTTCCATTCATATTGTTTTGAATGATTTAATCCACCCACTTCACAAAGGACATAGCATAAAGAAACTAGAAAAACACGGGGATAGAAATTATAAATAAATAAAATCATAACTGGAAAAAATGTATTAACAAGAAATAAATTCTTTCATTAGGAAAAAAGGGAGTTGCTTGGTTGACTAGGTTGTTTAGTAAAATTTTGTTGACTAGGAGCATGCCAGATGAGTGGAAGAAGAGTATTTTAGTGCAAATCTATAAGAATAAAGGAGATGTCTAGAATTGCAATAACTATAGAAGAATCAAGGTAATGCGTTATGTAATGAAAGTGTGGGAGAGGGTGATAGAACGCCGATTGTGAGATATAACAGAGGTGTCAGAGAATCAATTTGGGTTTATGCCTGGTAGGTCAACAATGGAAGCGATCTATCTTTTGAGGAGAGTAATAGAAAAGTATAGAAAAAAGAAAAGAAACATTCATATAGTGTTTATTGACCTTGAGAAAGCATTTAATAGAATGTCTCGGGATATAATATAGTGGGTGTTAACAAAGAAAAGGGTGACAAAAAGTTACATTGATGTAATTAGGGACATGTATGAAGGGGTGGTGACCACTATTAAATCGCTTGCTGGAGAAATAAATGAATTTCCTATTACTGTAGGATTACACCAAAGATCTACCTCAAATCCTTATCTTTTTATTTTAGCTATGAATGAGTTGACGAGAAATATCTAGGATGACGTGGCATGGTGTATGTTTTTTGCAGACGATATAGTACTAGTGGATGAGACTAGAGAAAGAGTTAATACAAAGTTGGAGATTTGGAGAAAAGCTCTTGAATCTAAAGGATTCCGGATAAGCAGAACTAAGACAGAGTACATGGAGTGTAAATTTAGTAACAGTAACAATGAAAACCGAAGAGAAGTGAAGATTGAGAACCAAGAACTGCTTAAGAGTGAACATTTTTGTTATTTAGGATCGATTATCACAACAGCATGGGAGATTGATGCAGATGTGGCCCATAGGATTAAGGCGGGATGGTGTAAGTGGAGAAATGCGTTTGGGGTACTGTGCGATAAACGAATACCCACTAGACTTAAAGGTAAATTTTATAGAACAGCTATTAGACCAGCGATGTTGTTGGGATAGAGTGTTGGGCAACCAAGAAACAATATGTAGATAAAATGAGTGTGGCTAAGGTGAGAATGCTAAGGTGGATGTGTGGTAAGACTATACAAGAAACAATATGTAGATAAAATGAGTGTGGCTGAGGTGAGAATGCTAAGGTGGATGTGTGGTAAGACTATACAAGACAGAATTAGGAATGAGTTTATTTGGAAATGAGTAAGAGTAGCACCGATAGAAGATAAGTTGAGAGAGAATCAGTAGTGAAGAGATGCGATGCTGTAACAGTAGATGAAAGTGTTAATGGACGGGATAGGCCTACATTAACATTGGTTAGCGTTGTAAATAGAGATATGGATCTACTTAATTTGACTAACGAAATGGCCTTTGATAGGGCTGCGTGAAGAAGAAGGATTCATGTAGCCGACCTCATTTGATGGGACTTAAGGCTTGGTTTGGTTTGGTTTGATTTGATTTGGTTTGGTTTGGTTTGGTTTAGGACACCTACAGGGACAGAACCAAGATTTCATTATCGGAGGAGTCAAAAAAAAAATAATTTTTTTCACCATATACACAAAACGCACATGTATGTATAATATGATATATATATATATATATATATAAATTATATATACATAAAAAAAATTTAAACACTATAGAAGCAATCTCTAATAAGATGAATAATTTTTTTTGGTGCAAAATAAAAAAATAATACAATATAGAAGAAGAATGAGATAAATAATTTTTTATAGGAGAATTTGTTTTAAGCTCTCTGATATTAAGATTTTATAAGATAAAGAATATACAATATTTTCATAATAGTTGGAGTCCCTCAACATTTTCACATAGAAAATTTAACTCAGATTATGTATAAAATGATATATATATATATATATATATGTTTTAAAGTTTTAGGGCAAACAATAATTTTCACAGAAACGGAGGGGCCATGCAGGCTCCTCATAGTCTTCTCCTAATTTCGTCCCTGGACACCTGTACAAGACAATATCTTAAAGGTAAACAATTTGTTGAAAAGAGTAGTAATGGAATACATGCATTTTGCATGGATCAATTGAAAAGTCAACTGACCACGCCCAGATAAGTAACCTCATGCATTTTTACAAAATATTCATGACTAGACAAAATTTTTGCATTTGATCATCAACTGGTTTTGAAAAGTTTTCAAAAGGTGGACCATTATGTTAACATAGAGGACATTTAATCACATTTAGATTAAAGAGAAATTACAAATAGAAAATGGAGTCATGTGAAGAGCAAAATTAATATTCTGTTTCTACAGCACAAGAGTTCAAAAAATGATAAATTATCTTTTACTGTCAAACCAAGAAACAAAATGATAATATTTTGTTCGTCTTATAATATATTAGTACAATTTGCTTGAATAACATAAACTTACGTCCCATATAAAAATTTCTCTATAATTCATAAGCTGTCCTAAGGAACTAAAAGGCTGCATGTTTAGACCCATAAGAAACACCAGCACGTAGAACTTGTCCCCAAATGATAACAAGAAGAGGACATGGCAAGATGAGTGCTCATTTCAACAAATGGGGAGAGCAATAACTAGATGGGAATTGATTTTGGGTATTCCATTATGCAAGATAACATAAAAACACATACCCATGTTCATTAAATAGTAGTCCATACAAGGGACTATGCAGCATAGATACGGATAAGGGATACGAGTGCGATATAGATACGGCAATACGACAAAGCCTAAAATAATAAAATACTAGTACGGCATGAAACATACGCGGAAAAATATATTTTCATAATTTTTAGTATTGTATTATACATCAATGCAAAAATCATTTTTAGAAATTAAGAATTATGCATTCATTTCAGAGCCAATGCCTAACCATTAAGTCCTATGAAAATTTCATTTCATTATCAAGTCTAAATTGTTTTATTGCCCTTATACTTTTCTTTTTCATACTTAAATGTGTTATATGCAAAAGTGTTACTTGCAAGTTTCCTTGCTTTTTAATTGTTGAAATTCGATTTTAATATTATCATATTTTCTTATTTATCCTTACTTTTTAAAAAGTTAAAGATATAGATATGGGATAAATATCTCAATCTGATAAACTTTGAAAAAGTAAGGTACTTTTTTAATCTCACTAGTTTCTTCTTCTCTAATGTCATGCAAGAATTATAATAATCTCACTTTCAAAATAGTTCAGATACGTGACCTAGAATATCCCAAAAGTATTTGATACTTCTCAAAATTCAAGAAAATTAATATCAAGTATCGGATACGTTTAGGAAGTATTTGATACGTATCTGCAAGTATCCAAGAAGTATCAGTATCCAATATGGATACGGCTCCCTTTTAGAAGTATCCATGCTTCATAGACAAGGGACAAACGCGGATCAGGCTGTTTGTTTGGGAATTGGCCTTTTTAGTGGTTTTTTGGCCTTTATGAAAGATGTGCAAAAAAATAGAGAGATTGAGTTGACTTTTTATAGTAGCTTTTTGGCTAATTTAGCCACTTCCCAAACAAGGCCTTAGTCCAAGCAAAACCTGTCAGCTTCAGGCTATTTATCACACAAGGATCCACAATCTCAAAGCTAACCCCATATCAATAGACAACTTCAGAAAGCATTGATAAATAAGAAAGATAGAGATGACATTTTCAGACATACCCTCTTACCAAAGGCATCATGCATATACAATTCCCAGTCATCGCCACAATCTATAAAGAAACTGCCTAGTTGGGAGGCATTTTCCTTATCATTATCGCCCTCAACAGGAGCCTGATATGAAGAGTAAATTGATGGTCCTGATGTGAATGACCAGAATACTTTCCTGGATTTAGGCTCCACTAAATGGATTGTACCATCCAGGGCAGCAACCAGTGCAGTATCATGTTCGCTGTTTAAAAAAATAAAAATAATAATAATAATAATCAAGCATAAGCAAAGATAAGGTTATAATTACAGAAAAGGAAGCAAGTTAAAATCATGACTAAATTTAAAGAAAATTATCATAACAGTGGTCTGGGAAAACAAATACAAAAAACCAAAAATGAAAACGAAAATGAAAACAAGCACAATATAGGCCAGCATAAATACTTGAAGATAATCACACCTCACACAAGCCAACAAATATATTGGGATTTTTTTTTTCCCCGGACATAGGATATATCCGGGAATTGAAACTTCAAAAAGATTAGATATGCTGAAAAATTGGAAGTTTCATGGTCAACTGATTGATTTAAAATGGTTGCATGCATGTAAATGAATTTGGTAGAGTCCATGCCAAACATGAATACAAAACTTTTAAATGAATAATGTCTATTAACACTGACACTTCAAAATAGGTATTGGGTGAAGCAGTGTCTACATGTATGGGGCATGGACATGGTAAGTAGGGACACGTGTCCGGCACGCCATCTAGTGTGTCCATTTTTTTACAACTTTTTTTTCATTGGACATGGTGGGAACAGGCAAGGACACAGTGGACAGGCTTTGGGACACAATCTTATTTTAATTTTCCATAGCTAATTAGAAACCATGAAACCAGAGAGTACATTTTAAGAATATATAAAAGCCTAACACGAAATATCAACCATGCAACCAGGGCCAGCCCAAGGCAATTTGATTCCTAACTAAGGCGATGCCTTTAAGTTGGGCTTATTGATTGGTTCACGCCAAAGTCAAAATAAACTAATATATAGCATTGCTCAATAAATAAATAGTTATATCACTGTATACATGAATTCTTGTGATTGGTTCTTTATTTGAAAATCATCATTAAAGAAGTAATGAAGGTGAATAGTATCTTGCCATGTAATATAAAATGGAAAAAAAAAAAAAAAAGTTATATATATTGAGCTTTCTTTTTTCTTTTTCTTGTTAAAGGGCTTTTAGGTGTAACAATAAATGTGGCCTTTTAAACAAAATCCCAATTATAGCACAAATTATAAATGTGTCATTTAAAAATTGGGACTTTATACAATTTGGCCACAAGTCTACAAGACAATGAAGGCTTCCATAATATTGATCAACAAGGCAGCTGCCTCAACTGCCTGATGGCAACATAAAAATTAGGGCAATAGGACAAATGCTCGAATTGAATACTGTAATGTGTTTATGTTTAGAGCTTGGAATCACCATAGAGTATATTGAATTATACAACAAGCACATAATAAACATGCGCTTATCATAACAGCATTAACGATTCTACGATCAAACCCTAACCCTCTATCTATGTCACTTACCTCGTTTGCAATTAAAACTAAAGTTCAAAAAACAAGTAATAACAACAACAACAACAACAACAAAAAACAAAAAAGCAAAAGCAGAATTGAACTCACTCAGAGAGAGACAACAGAGAGCGCCTCGCCGGCGGTGCAGCGAGGGCATTGAGATTATCGTTCCGACTTAGACTAGTAAACGGAACATTCGAAACTTGAGAGCATGAAACGTCGCCGGAAAACACAGCGAAGAGCAAGAAAATGCATAAGAAAGGGACCAATTTCTGATTCATCGGCGAGGTTCACCGGACTAGCTGATTGGGAATTTTGTGATGGAGAAGGCAGAGAGGAGTTGGGTGGTTGTTTGAATTGAATAGGGGGGTTTAATCGAAGACGTTAATGGTGGATTTGGTGGAAGATTGAAGGCGGCGGTGGTGGTCGTGGTGGAAGGAAGTGCACGAATGAAGATTCGAAGCTTGTCCACGGTGTCTGCAATTTGGGATCTCCAAGCCCGTCAGATTACACCTTGCTG